TACTTGTTCTTTTGTTGTCTAAATTTGATGCGACCATAAATACTAGGGGCTTATGTTCATAAGATGGAAATTAAGTTTTATACGTTCAAACAATTTTTTTATAGGATAAGGGTGACAAACGAGCACACAATCCTCCTCATGGTAAGTGGTTGCTGCGGCCCATAGACGTCTACATCAAACAAAATAAAGATGCGTTGTCACCCGTGAGGACTAAGATGGAATGCCTCATTTCCAGTAAAAAGGGTCTCCGGTTCTCTACACTCACCATACGAAACACAGCAGCGTTAAGCTGCTATTTTACGCTGGTATTCTGTGAGAGCGTGGTACTTCCCCGGTCGAGCCGACCCATTCGTGCTACAACTTAAAAAAGTCTTTATGTAATTACGGAGAATTTTTTAGGTGACAATATTTATAGTTAAGACTACTAGAAATCTTATTTACGAAGTAAAAAGGCGAAAAAGCTGGAATTAGGGGCATAGCTGGGATTAGGGGCACCCACCCTATAATTAATTTTTACATATAAAACCAACATGCACGGCCGTAAGTATACCTGAGTATATGATTTTAATTCTAATTCGATACCTACACGCTTTCCCGAGATAAAGGGTCTTGACAGGCAGACGGACGGACGGACAGAAAGACGGACAAAGACGCCATCTTATGCTGCGACGTCATTAAACAAAACTTCTGAAATTTTGTAAATATGGTACCTATGTTTAGTCTTTTTACGTACTTAAATAAAATAAATAAATATCCTGGACATTTCACACATAAGTAGTCCCTGATCTCCCTTAGTGTTCTGTGAAACCTACTGTACTAGGTATGGAGGCCTGAGAAATACATAGATAAGTAGGTAGTTATTTAACACCTAGACACAGAGCAAACATCAGTGTTCGTCACACAAATGTTTGGCATGTTTGGACATCGAACCCACGACCTCAAGATCCGCATCCAGAGCTACTAACCACAGAGCGAAAAGGTCAGTTAAATAGTTATTGGTTATCTACTTTTATTATTCTGATTCGGCTTCTGGCAGGCAGCACAGTTATTTAACCTACCTAAACACAATCACAACTCTTTTGGTGGTAAAAAAATTTGGTAGGTAGGTAGGTAGGTACTAGGTAGTTAGGTAAGTCCTTAGGTATTATTATGTGAATACCTATTTATTATCATACGCGTCGATCATGGATGAGGGGGTGCGTTTCCACTGAGGCGGTCTTTACTCCGCCCCCCTTCATTTGAGCCGGGATCACATCCGGATTAACTCATTAATATAATACCTACATAATATCGAGTTTCTAAATAGATAATCAAATATAGATAATAAAATACTCACCATCATCTTCTGATTGGAAAATTTACTCCACTCACACGATAACAAAAACCCGCGCAAACGTCTTGCCGCAATCAAATTTGCCAGTTTGATCCTCAAACGCAACGTATCAGCTAACGCATATTTCTTACCTTCTTACTCTAACGAAATAGTTCTCTGTCACACGCAGAATGCGACGTTGCCGCTTTGTGTTTGCGTACCTATACGTCAGTTTAGGCTCTGGATCCACTTAGCTTAGGTAAATGTCGCATATAAGTTAAATATATTCTGGATGTAAGAAATCGCATTCAGTATGATTTTTTCGACCGTTGATGGACCAACAAATATTGGTCAAATCGCTGACGAGTATGTTGAAAATTAGTAACCACAGATCCACCGACGTCACACGCGCATCAAGGATTGATCAAAGTATATTATTTTGCGCGACGCAGAGCTGAGTATATACGTAAAATAGGTGGATCAATATTTGTTCTAACTTCTCACTGGAGCAACATTTACCGTGAAAGGTTCTATATATATATATATATATATATATATATATATATATATATATATATATATATATATATATATATATCGGGTGTCCGGTAATGAATGGATAACCTTGAAATGTCTTATAGTACAACTTATGGCCGTTTTTTTGTTGTTTTATTATTATACACTAACTGTGCTGATAGATAAAAAGTAAACAGTAACATTAGCTTTTGCAGTTTTTATTTAAAAAATTCACAAATTAATTTATTTCTGAAAAACATGCAAATAATATTATTTAAGCGAAGTTCAAACCTCTTGGGTATGAAAAAATGTATGAATGTATGGGTGACCAATAATTTTACAATAATGTCGGTTTCATGTAGATTTTATAATGGTATAATTCATAAATGAGTCTTCCATAAATAGTGACTTATTGCCATTAATGTAGAAAAGGAGAAAATTTTACTAAGTAACAAAATTTGTAATATGGGAACATTTTTTAAATTGAATTGTGTCTGATCATTGGGGATTAATAAAAAACAACATTTAAAATTAAAATATTTTATTTTTCATTAATTTACAAAAAATGTTCAAATTGTTTGCCTCCCACTCTTATGCATGCCCTACATCTTCGGATAAATAATCTTCTGAGCAGTCTTGTGTACCGTCGCTCGCATATTTTTGATGCGGCTGCTCTGACACGACTGCGTAGTTCATCCAAAGACCGCACAGACTTACAGTATACTTCCTCTTTCAGACAGCCCCAGTAAAACAAATCCAATGGATTTAGATCCGGTGAACGTGGAGGCCACAAAATTGGCCCTAGACGTCCGATCCATCTATTTGGGTATCTGCTATTTAAATATGCACGAACCGGCACAGCATAATGAGCAGGACAACCGTCATTTTGCAGCCAATACGATTCCCTCAGCTCCTCGGGAACCTCTTGTAATAAATTGGGGAGATCATTTTGAAGAAACTCCAAATAACTTTGCCCCGTTAAATTCCCCGATAATTCAAAAGGGCCAATTATCATAACATTTAATATTCCGGTCCAATAATTTATTTAAAATTGGTATTGCGACCTGTCTTCACGCATAAGATGGGGATTTTCTAGTTCCCAACTATGTAAATTGTGTAGACTTAAGTAACCGTCTCTTTTCAGCGTTGACTCATCGCTCCACAAAATTTTATTAAAAATTGCGGGTCTTCTTCCATCTTTGCCAGCATTTGCCGGCAAAAACGTACTCTTGAGAGATAATCTCTTGGTTGGAGAGTTTGCACGCGTTGGACGTGGTAAGCGTGGAATTCGTTTTTCTTTAAAATATCGTGTACGGTCGATTTTCCAATACCTGTGCGTCGAGCTATTGCTCTCGTAGAGGTTGAAGGATCGTTTTCAATCTCCTCAAGCACCACGTCTTCTACATCAGGACGAGCGATTCTTCCAGCGCTAGCACCACCGACACCACTACCCGGCATTCTTCCTTCAGAGTAACAACCGTGGACTCTTATAAATACGCGGTAGTCTGGGTGGCGCGCATTGGGGTACCTCTCCCTATAAAGAGTTGCGGCTGCATTTGCGTTGCCTCTGCATTCTCAATAAATAAAATGCATGTTTGCATATTCTTGTGCCGTGTACTGATACGTGGCATTTTGATAGGTACACAAAAGTCCAGTTTAGTCCAGAAACAAGCCCAATCGTCGCAAATGTCACCAAACGCAAAACAAGTCCAAATCAGTAAACAAAACGAATAGTCCGGTAAAATAACCAAGTGGTCGTTTTAACACTGATTTAAATAATTGCAAACGGAGACAAAATAAATACATGCGAAGTCGAGCAAGTCGAGTGACGCACTAAGTTCTCTTTTACATTTAGCTCTTCTCTCTCCCACTTACCCAATTCAGACCCCTCTTTGTCTAATATAACACAAAAGACAGCAGGTAGTAAATATGAAGGTCACACGACCCATTTCACGCTAGTAAAGTAACCATTTTAATATTTAAATTGGTTATTTTATTACATTTAAATAAGTTAATTTCTAATACTTAATTTGGTTTCAACTTGTTTCAAAATAGCTGTTTTCATGTATGATTTACTCCTGATGTGTTTTTATTAATTCTCAATGATCAGAGACAATTCAATTTAAACAAATGTTCCCATATTACAAACTTTGTTATTTAGTCAAATTTTCTCCTTTTCTACATTAATGGCAATAAGTCACTATTTAAGGAAGATACATTTATGAATTATACCACTATAAAATTTACATGAAACCAACATTATTGTAAAATTATTGGTCACCCATACATTCATACATTTTTTCATACCCAAGAGGTTTGAACTTCGCTTAAATAATATTTTTTGCATGTTTTTCAGAAATAAATTAATTTGCGAATTTTTTAAATAAAAACTGCAAAAGCTATTCATACTGTTTACTTTTTATCTATCAGCACAGTTAGTGTATAATAATAAAACAACAAAAAAACAATAGAAATCATTCATTCTTGGTCATAGTGTTCAAGACAGTAAAATAAGATTCTTTAAAAAAAATATATCAAAGGTACTACTTGTGATATATTATGTTTCGTATTTTTTTCAGAACGGCCATAAGTTGAACTATAAGACATTTCAAGGTTATCCGTTCATTACCGGACAACCTGTATATATATAATAAACGTCGTCCTGGCCATTTTGAGGCTGTTTTAGGGCGTGTTTACTGTTCCGACTTGCTTACGCGCGCTCTATAGCTTACTAATAAATACTTTAAGGGGCGAGCGGCCTATTTGTAAGCAAATCCGAAACAAGACGACCTCTCGGTAGAAAGTCATTATTGTGTTCTGTGAACACGACCGTTACTATGGCAACAATGGACAGTTATTATTGTAATTTAAGATATTTCGAAAATTGTTTAACTATTTTACTATTCAGCTATTTTGGACCGGCTAATTAAATTCTATTTTGTAGAAAGAATGTTTGCTAATCTGGGCCAAAAGCAAATTATTCAGCACTTCAAAAAGATTTGTGTAAGTATAATTTATGATAAAAGGTTTGGTGTATTAGAAAATAGAACTTTCCCGTCATTGCATTTTGTACAAACATTATACCTACTCATGGCACAAGGCTGTATGGGCGTAGTTACCTTTACCTAGTAAATAATTTAAAAATACATGTTATATTTATTTTGATTTGTGTACTGTAGTGTACACAGATCATAATTTTGGTGATAAGATAAATCAGGGTTTAAATTATTATAAAACTTTAAGTTTATGATAAAGAGTGTTGAGTTCATCATCACAAACTAAATAGATCTATTATAATATAGGTACTAGAGTATTGATTATAAAAATAATTTGGGAGTAATGTTTTTATAAAAAGGTAAAAGTTGAGCAAATCAAAAGCAGATAAGTTTTTTTGTTGTGAATTTTCCAGGTCGACCATATTCAGAAAAAAATGATGACTCCAGATAAGGATACCTTTCTTTATTTTGCTTATGGCAGTAATTTATTGAAAAGAAGAATTCACATTAATAATTCTTCTGCAGTCTTTGTAGGAATTGGAAGACTTGATGTGAGTAACCTGTTGCGATAATTTTCAAATTTCGCTGTCATAAGCTTCTTTCTGGTACATTCTAATTCTAGTAAGATAAATTAAATTATTAGGAGTATTGTTACTAAATTTCTATTTGTGTTATTGCTAGTTTAGTTTACGACGGGCTGATTTCCGCAACTCCACGTCTATGCGCGTATTTTGCGCGTGGGCAGGAATAATATGCTTACTTGAGCCATGAGATCTCCCCGAAGAAGCTCAACAGTCCTTTGATGTTGCATGCAATTTCGGGGAGTGATCTCGGCGTGCCGAGATGTTTAGCCCTGTATTTCAATATCACATGGGCCGCCGTTTCTTCTTCCCCCAAACATGCCCTGCACAGGGGACTATCTGTAACACCTATAGTAAATAAATGCTTGTTAAAATTGCCGTGTCCTGTGATAGCACTTGGTAATATCCTGATCTGTGGCTTGTTCAGTCTCATTAGAACTTTGGTTAAACAACTGTTTATTTTAGGCAGGGCCTCCCTAGCTTGTCTACAGTCTACTAGATTTTTCCAAAGCTGAACGTGTAGATTAGTGAAGTGTCTACGTACCAGTGAACGAACATTACCAAAGGGGATTGGTATGATTGGTTCCGGCCCTATAGTGGGCAGAGCCGATCCTCTTCTGACCAGTTCATCTGCTGCGTCGTTGTCTCTGCCTGTGTTATTGCTAATACAGTAATGCTTTAGCCCAAACACATACATACAATTTTAATGGAACAACTGTTTAGTTGTATGTGAAAAGCCTATGGAAAAATTTGGATGCATTATCGCATTATGAGCATTATCAAATTGATAGTTGCTCAACAAAAAATTATAAAACCACATCTACTGCTTTTTGATTAATCAGTCCAACAACTATCAATCGAACACTATGTATTTATTTTAAGGTACATGTGAAGAGATGATTTCCCAAAATTATTACACTTGACAGGCAGGTCACACTTGCTTATTAAATTACGTAACATTAAAAATATAAAATCTTATACATTAATATAATGATAAAACCTTAAAATTTCAATTGACCTTGCTTTGTGTTTGCTCCCTCACAGCAATTTTTAATATTTCAGGAGCACCAACTTGATTTTATAAAGTATTCAGACCATTGGAGAGGAGCATCAGCTACTATTGTTCCAACCAAAGGTTGTCATGTATGGGGAGCTATTTGGAGATTACATAATAATGACCTAAAATCACTGGATAGGTAATGTATAGTTACATTTACATTTGTTGGTTAAATTGTTAATTATTTATGCTAATGATGATAATATTGAGAGGCGATAGAGGGTAATGAAACAGGAGATGGGTAACAATATCTTACTGATAACAACCCAAAATAATAAAAAACAAGTCAGACACGGATGCAAGCTACAACAGTTGGAAGAGGGATATAATTTCATTAGGTGGGTTTTAGGAAGACACTTCTGCTCATGTCCTGGTTTGTTTTCCTCTGTTGCTTTTGACGGCACCTACGGTACGCTATAGGCGAGTGTATTTTTTACACTGCGACTACATTGTCACTATAAAGTCGTTATATAATTTATTAACTGACATGCCATGTTCCATGTGGCAATTATGAGAAATATCCACATTAGACAGTAGCTTTTTCTAGTATTTTTGCATCAGCATTATTTTAGTCAAGCTTTAGTTGGACCTCAAACCTACAAACCATGATTCAATACTGCAGTTCGCGTAAAGCGCGCAATTTACCGCGATATTTGGCTTCACGCATCCAGTAGCTGCAAAATACTTTGTGCAGATTGTCACTACATCTATCCAGGAGACAACTCACTCTGCGTTTAACTAAGCTCAACCTCCATTTTATAATACTCCTACTCAAAGGGTTTTCACTTCTGCAACAGATATGACCAGCCCATTGCTACTTCGTCTTGTAAATACAGAAGGCCTGTAACATTGGTTCTCTGGTGGCTTTCTTCATTACGAATCTTATCCACCAGAGAAACTCTGATCATAGCTCTTTCCAATGTTCGTTGAGTGATTTTGAGTTTGTGGAGAAGTCATTCTGTTCGTGACCATGTTTAAGTACTATATTATCTTAGTATAGGCAGAACACACTGGTCAAAGACTTATCTTCAGGCTTTGTGGTATGGACGACGAGAAGACCTGACAATACCTGTCCTGACCTGAGAATGCTTATCGTCTTCTTTCTCAAAGTTGTTTCTACTTAACTGCACTATCTGCCCACGGTAGATAATATACTTTTAATCAACGATATCATCGGAAAGGCGCAACTGTGAGATGCTTCGACCGTTTATATTGATGCCACGTCCATTTCAGTTTAGCATCATGAAAATATCTTCCAGTGAATATTACGTTTCCCTATCTCACTCTACGGATAAGTTTTGTTAGAACGCCCTGTCAAGCTTGTTTTTAACCGACTTCAAAAGAAGGAGGAGGTGAACCGATTTTGATGATTCTTTTTTATTTGAAAGCTGGTTGCTTCTGATGTGGTCCCATATAAATTTGATCAAGATCTGACCAGTAGTTTTTGAGTTATTCTTAATAATGCGTATTTAATTAACACTACATTGATGATGTTCTCATTTTATTTATATTGAAGTCGGTTGTACAAAATTTTTAATTTTACCACTTCTTTATATTTCGATTCGATCTAAATATATTGCCAGTCAAACAAGAAATCCATAACAGCTTAAGTTTCGATGGAGTTAAAGGCTTTCAAATAAATGCAAGACAGAGGCGTTTGAAACTTGTCAAATCTCCGTACGAGTAGTTTCATGATGACCCTTGAAAACAACTTTTAGACATAACTGTTATGCGTCTGCCTGATGCAGTTGAAAATTTAACAGAGCTTTTTTCGTAGTGCACTAATTATTTTGCTTTTATTTTATTCTTTTTTATTGTGTTTGTTTAATAAATGTTTTTCTATTATTTATGGTTATCGTAGTAAAATACCGCTCTTAGCGGTTAGCCACCGTAGAGTCTATATCACCTGAGGATGCCTCGTGTAGATGTGAAGCACGTGTCGTATTATCGTCAGTGGTGTGTCTTGCCTAGTGTAGTGGTGTTGGGAGTAGCGGTGCTGGGATTAGTGGTGACGGGGATAGTGCACGCAATTGAGGGAGGGCGGGAGGTGCTCTTCATACTAGGTAAGACACATCATTTTATTTTATAACGCGGATATTTGCGAAGTAAATTTTTCTAAAAGCTTTCATATAATGGATTTCCGCAAAGTAACGCCTGATTCTATTAATTAAGCTCTATAGTTGTCAAAATATAAATGATTATGTTACAGCCTAAACTTTTTCCTGGTCAAAACTACTTTTGATTGACAAGAACAGTCAAAAGCAAAAGTTTATTTGAATTATTTAGTCTTCTTTAGTTTGGTAAAGCTGTTTTGACCAAGATTGATACTTAAAATCTCTTTTGACCAGGAGTATTTTGTAAAAAAACGACTGATATTTTACGATATGTTTATTGCCAATAGATTTTAACCCTAGAAAGATAACCATATGACAACGTACTTAAAAGATAACCATACGCTTCAGAGGTGCATGAGTTTCTAATGCGGCTATTATTCTGAATATCGCATTTTCGCCAAAATTAATCTAGTCATTTTATTTATGTGAGATTGCTTTAGAAATAAAATGCATTACTTTTATAATTTTTTATATTTTATGAATTTTTAAACATAAATCATTAGACCTCTACGAAACAATAACTAAAATCAACAGCCTTCGTTTATGGGGATGAATCCCGTAAATTATCACAAAAAATGGCTTTTTTTTCTTACAAATAAGTTGACGATAGATGTAATGATACAATTTACGTACAAATTACTCCTAATATTTGGTATTTATACAGTCTTGGCAAACTTCAATCTTATGTTCGCCACAAACGGGCTTTTTGCACTTAGCACATGTCATCTTTGACATTCTTTTTTTTTTTTGACGAGCAGTAGCTGCAATAACTTCTTTTTTTGGCTGAAGGTTCCTCTTCTTCATCCATGGAAACCTGTGCAGTAGACTTTGGCATAATATTTTCAATATTACTTCGCACATGCTTTGGCAAAGTGGAAGCTTCCAGCCTTTGCGTCATCCATGGTGTAGTCAGCTGAGTGCTGAGTTTTTTCATATAGTCTCTGCGATTAAAAGGCTTTTCATTTCTAGACAGTACGTTATGACAATAAATGACATATGAATTAATAAAAACTATATTCAATATGCCATAAAACATGGTCATTGGCCATCTATTTGTTTTTCTTGAGCAGGACATCGTGGAGCACATTTGATCAAATGTGTCCACGCCGCCCTTAGTCTGATTGTAGAACATTATTATTTCAGGCTTTCCGGTTGGTGGTTTTATGGGAGCTTCTTCATCACATGAAGATAATAGATAAACCATCTTGGAGGGCTTTGGCTTATATGACACGAGTGTCAAACATCCATCGTAACAGAACATTGACGTGCCTATTAGTCGAGTTCGGGTATTTTTCAATTGCTCTGGAATCTCACGTTTATTAGAACGTACGGTACCAACAAGAGTCAGTTTGTAAGGATCCTCAAGATGTGATTTCGCGAATGGTATCGAGGTGAACCAATTATCGCAGGTTATGTTGCGATTTGTGCCATGAATAGGTTGGGATAACTCTTTCACATAATATTCTCCCTGTGGCAATCCATTAGTGTTTGTGGCTCTTCCGATATATGGCATTGCATTCAACATATACTTCGTTCTACTGTCGCACATCATTGGAATTTTAATGCCATACTTATTAGGCTTATTAGCAATATACATCCTAACAGAACACCTTCCTCGAAATCCCAATAATTGTTCATCGATTGTGACATGTTCTCCTGGTGAATAGTTTATTTTACATTGGGTAATAAATAGTTCCCACACTTTTCTGATTGGAATGAAAGGATCTCCTTGACGACGAAGCGACCGTAAAGACTTGTCATCCATCCTGAGAGATCTAATCAAGAAATCAAAGTGATCCCGGCTCATCTCTGCAACGTATCTTGTTCCCGAAAAACCGCTATCAAATAGCTCTTCAGTTGATAAGTGATTATCTTTCATTGCTGCACTCAGGGTTAAAATCCCAATCAAAGCTCGAAGTTCAATCGAAGTTGTGTCTCTAAAAGTGGCTTTGGTAATTTCAGTTCGACGTTTTATGGAGATCTCTACATTCGTCCACCGAACAATCTCTTCAACTATTTCGTCAGTAATGAACAAATCAAAACATTGTACTGGGTCATATTAATTTCGGTACATACGCAGTGTGCGAATTTTGTGCGAATTATACTGATGGCAGATGTTCTACCATGACTTCGACCTTTAGCAGTAGACCAACAATGTCTGTTCTTACCTCTAATCACTCTTCCCTCAGGAACAATTATACAGCGGTCAAGGTCTGAACTTCCTGACGACGCTGAGGGTACAGGCTGAGATAAATCTTCGTCTTCTGGTACATAATTCGACTCCTCTTCTGCTTCGTTGTCGAAATACTCATCTTCGAAATCACTCAGCACATCATCTTCGCTCATATGATCTTCGATCTCGCTGTCACTTTCCTGATGTTCATCGACGTTATTTCCATCTTCTTGGTTCAATAAAGAACATATTTCATCATCTAATAAATTGTTTCTACTTTCCATTTTAACCACATACAGAATTTATCCCAAAAATAAAACAGAAATAAATAAAATTCATGTCACAGTAGTAAATATTAACACACTAAAAGTTACACAAAAGATAACCATAAGCCTCGCAAGCATATCCACTGGTCATAACTACGAAACTATAACTCTTACCGCATATAAACAGCCGTCCTGCGATAGAGGACACCGGCGGCTGAATTGGCTACGACGGACAAGTCAATATGCGTGTCGATTGGAAAGAGAAAGCAATATCTTTGCAGCGCGGGCGCCTCTGCGACGTAGGTTATCTTTCTAGGGTTAAGACTAAATAGTTTTTTCTAGGCTAAACTTGTTTTTCATAAACCCTGCAGGATCAATTACATATTCGCGGCCTCAACATACTGTCATTGATATTCAAATATTAGCTTAGCCTAGGAAAAGTAAGTTTGTCCTTTGGCCGGTGACAATATTACAATATGGCTGCAAAACATATGAGTCGGCTTTTCGCGGTAGAACACTCGCCCAAATACCAGCGTGAAAAATCAAAATGCTGTTGTGTTTTGTACGGTGAGTAACGAGAATCGGAGATCCCTTCTTTAAGACATCCCAGTTTAGGCCTCAGCGATGACAACGCGTCCAAACATACTCTCCTTGATTTTATTGATTTTAGTGAATTATTTCGTTGTAAGACATTGTTACGCCAGACGTTGTGGTTTCGAATTCTTCAAACTCTCATGCAGTAGCAGTCGCAGTGCCATAGTGGCAGGCATTATATAAAAAGGTTAATCTATTCTTGTTTGTAAAATAAAACAATTTAATGTTAAAAATATTTTAGGCAAGAAGGAGTGGATACAAATTGGTACTTTCCAAAAATGATCAATGTTATAACTCCTAGTGGTACAAATTTGGAATGCCGCACATACCAGCAAACTAGCAATCCACCCCCTCGGACGGAAGATGAGGAAATACCTCACGATCGGAGGCCATCCATCACATACTTAGAGTGCATACTTAATGGTGCTAGTGAATGTAAACTACCAGAAGACTATATTGAAAAATTAAAGAAAATTCCGCATAATGGACAAAAGGCATCTCCAAAAATGATAGAAAAACTAAAATTATCAAGCCATGATTGAAAATGGTTTCAATTAATAAATGTACTATAAGAAATTGTAAGAGATTTAAAAAAAAAATACTCTTCCATTTAAATTATTGTTAAATATATTCTTAAATTATTTTCTAAAATAAACCTTTTTAGTTAAAAGAAGATAAATAAATAAATTGACAACAAAAATAATTTTGTCATCATTTTCGGAATTCTTTCAAATTAACAAAATATGGTAAAATCTATAATTAAAAAAACAAATAGTACATTCTTATATTTTTCTTACGGTAGTAATTTATCAAGACTAAAGATTGGCTTTTATAACTTAAAAGTAGACTTCATCTCAATTGCCCGTTTGGATGTAAGTAAACCACTTTAAGCGTTATTGTTATTAATTTATTTGTTTAATACATATTGGTTTGTAGAATTATAGGTTAGATTTCAACGGATATTCAAAATTTTGGGGAGGGCCTACAGCTACCATAGTTCCAACTGCAAATGCACATGTTTGGGGCGTCGTGTGGCGAATTGACACAAATGAATTGCAAATTCTTGAAGAGCAAGTATTTTTCATGAACAATCGTTTCAATTTTATGGATTTTTCTTTTTCATGAATAAATATTTTACCTTTTGTCTTTTTCTGTAAACATTACTTATTCCACATACTTACAGGCAGGAAGACGTCGATATTGAAAATTATTATGTAAAATATGTTGAAGTTTTAACGTCGTATATAGGCATACTCACATGTCGTACATATATTCAAAAAGTGAATCTGTTACCAAGAAGTGATAATGACAATTTACCTGTAGAGCGTTGGCCGTCACTAACTTATAGAAATGTGATTATTTTTGGTGCAATTGAACATCACTTGCCCGAGTATTATATAGAGAGTTTAAAAAAACTAAAGGATAATGGAGAAGAAGGTTCTTTTAAAATGGCTTACCTCTTAAAATTATTCACAAAAAATGACGCTTGCAAATGTAGATTGCCCCGAAAATGTTTGCCCAAAAAGATATTGAACCTGAGGAACATGAGATATAGAATGAAAAGCACAGAATAAATTGTACTTTTGTTATTGTACGATAACCAGTATCATTACGAATTAAAAAGTCTTGCAATTGAAAAATCAATTTTATTTTGAGATATTAATAGACCTTGCTTCTAACTTGGTATAAAATATATTTAAAACAAGGGGTGTTTTAGGATACATTGATATTCAAAACTATACTTCGCTAATTTTGTAACTTTATTTATATAAATATTAAAATTATTATTAATAGGTACTCGGTTCTCGTTAAATTAAATATAAAAATTATACACTATCTCAATTGTTTGGTGAAATTGTATCTAAATTGAGCATAAAGCACAACGCTACCCCGACACTATTATTTTATAATCACACATCACACAAGGAACACATCATTTGGAAATTATTTTATCAGTCAATAATTTATGAATAACATAATTACTAAGAATGAGGTAACGTAACTGCCTTATTAGGTGGAAATCACAATAAATAGTAAATACTGATATAGTTAAAAGAATAAGTAACAAAGGTAATTAGTAAAGCCCGCAGGGAACGCTGTGTGGAGGCAACGTTGTGTGAGAACCGGTCGCGCCGCTCCCTACCACTGTTACGCTCTGCCACGCGACCGCTGCCGCATGGCAGGTAGTGGCGGCCGGTGGCAGCCAGTGGCGCGACTCGCTCGCCACCAGAGGAACTAAGCGCTCGGCCGGCTCTCTGCCAGCAACACTCTTCTAGTAGCATTCAAGCGAAGTGAACATAGCTTCTGCGTCAGACAACGTTCACCCGCTCGAATACTTCTACGCGACAGGACGAAAAACTAAGTTCCAATGTTTAACATTACTTCTAATAAAAATGTAACATTTTTACAAATTTGAGCAAAAGGCACTATGCAAAATATTAAATTACACGTTTGGATTTCAACCTTGGAAAATAATTTGAAAGATTTTAAATTTAACACTTAATGTTTAGAGCCGGATAATGCAATGTGCCTTGAGCCCTTAACAATCACTTGCATTTTTACTTCTAACCCTATACAGTTCGTGATTCTCAACATTTGTCCTTTTGCAAATTAGTGTTTTATATTTAACTAACGACTATAATGCATTGTGAAACATGATTTTGCTTAAAAAAACGGAATTTTATCGTTATAAATACAATATTTGCCCTGCTCTTTGAACTTGTGGTCCACATGTAAGTTGGAACCATGTGACAGAAGTACATTGAAGTCACATTATTTCCGATGCGAACTGGAAACGCAAAGGTAGTTCATCATGCGCGCGATTGGTTCCTCACACAATCATCAATCCTGCATTCCGTTGAAGGCTGGATTTTCGAAGGCACTAGTTTATACCCTTATACGACAATAGTAACATTATAATTATTTAATTCACATTAGACCCCAGTTCGATCATAAAGCGAGGAATAATATCAGAAATAGTTTGATAATGGAGTCTCACTTTGGTTGGTGTTAATGTTTCATATATATTATGGAGGTTAGCATATATTTTACATAAATGTTGTTATTTTCACTTAGTTATGATTAAACATTGTTGTGTAAAGCATAGATATATAAATTCTTATTTGTTGACAACGTTGAGATATCTATTGATTTAAAATTAACCAATTTAATATTACTTTATGCTAATGCTGCACGCTCTACAATTTCGTTGCTCAACCAGTGTGTTGCCAGCGTGTGCAAAATATTCTAAAAATTCAAATTAAAAAATATAACAGCAATACAAACAAGTATTTCCCATAAAATGACGTTAAACATTTTATAATATTTATATGTGCAATGTTATAGTTAATTCTTTATTACATTAAGTCAGATTTATTAAGTTCACAATCACTTGAAAGAATAAATAGAAATAGAATCACTGGTAGTGTAAGTTTAGTTTAGCTTAACTTAATGCGAGTCCACTGGTCAATTACATACATATGTCTTGCAAATTAGCTAGACTTTGGCTATACAAATAATAGGTATTTCGTACTAAATAATCGTAATAAAATTATGTAACAACAATGGTACATTATCTATAGCATTATAATTGATATAGAACACATTATTTCAGCTTTATGGAAACAAGTATACTCTACAATCAAATTGTTTTGTTCATTTTAGAAAGTATAGAGTTAGTTTCTTTTCCAGCATTGATTAATATTAAAAATATCTCGATCTATAAACTTGTTTAAAATGGAAGTCATTTAACATCATATAAAACGGACAATGAGTATTATAAATATACATACATACTTTATGCTAAAACATGAAGCGGAACAAGTGACAAATTCGTGTAATAACACACTTTAGGGCAAAGTGCTTATAACAACAACAATTTTTTTAACAAATTTGACACCTGTTGGAAACCATGCGCATTTTAACAGAAGTTCGCTGGTTAAATATCAAGAAATTATTAAAAAATAATTTGTACAATCTAACCTACTTTACGTATTTATACACATTTACACCTTACATGTAGACTTAACGATAATAGGCTGCGTCATAAATGACATCGATACAACTATATTACTGAGGTAAACTATATAGGATTCACGTCGAAACAGATCGACTCGATATAGCTTCAGCAAAAACATGTCCCTGATATGAAAGTGAACGATGGGACTACTGCTGTTTCGCCTCCTCAAAAACGTAACGATATTAAAAATATAAGTTATCCTACAGAAATCGCCGCCAGTAGGTACCGAATTTAGGTATATAAATGCGGGGACAGTTGGAAAATGAACTATAGGTTTAGAATAAACACAATCAAACAAACAGCATATTATAAAGAGCACAATGAACTTTTCTTACCATAGGTATATCAATTATGACTCTTGTTTGTTGTGTGTTGTTGTCGTTTACTACAAATTGATTTTTTTTAGATAAATTTTGAGTTTCATAATTTTATAATGAAACTGATAGTATCCGAGCGGTTATCCTATTTTGTAAACGCTTGTTCACGCGTAGTCATTATGCTTGCATTTATCGCACATATACTGCAAAATGAGCAGGTCAAAATTATTTTGTAGTTTGGACCGAGTCGCAGAATCGCGAGGCTAAACTTACTAAACAAATATTAAGATTATCCCGACTCGGAATAAACGAGAGAATGCTGTTGTTGAACTGTGTCATTATAAAAAAATGGTTATCTGAGTAATGACATTGCTTATTTTCTATTCGATGGTAAATATATCGTTACAGTTCACCCCTTAACCTCCACATCTCGTACCGTTATCATATAAAAAGTACGTTCGCGTAGAGAAGAGGCGGCAATATCGAGAGCAGCGAGCGATAGTACAAATACGACATTCAAATGTCGCTCGCTGTCGGCCGTCGCCGGATCGAATCGAGCGCACGAAATAAATAAAACGAGGCGAACAATAATTCACTAGCTACGCTTACAACTAGGATTCGAAGAGCGCGGCGTGCGCGTCGCCGGCCTGAGGTAGATAGAGGCGCCGCCGTAAGCGGCGGACGCGGGGCTTATCCCTTTTGGGTACACTTTACTTGTTCCGAAACACTGAAGAATCCCGCTTTTATTTATTGCTAATATTCACAAAAACCGCTACGACCGATAGCCTCGGGAGTCAGCAAAGACGTCGGTATCTCCGCGCCGAAATTTTTTTGCGATTTTTGTCCATTGTTTGTCCCGGGTGCAATAACTCGATTTTTAAATTTTACGGCTGGTTAGTTTTACAGCAAATTTCCATGGACTAAAATCGAGATTTTTCAAAACATATAAGGTTTGTTCAATTTCTAATCAATTTTCTGTTAATTTAGACGACAACTGTAACTATTTCTTGTTTCAAAATATTTAAATAGTTCAATTTCTAAGATAACAAATAGTGTCACGTTAATCAACACGAAACTATTTATACATTCGTTAGTAATTTTTAAAATATCAAACATATTTAGGTAGTGTTGCGAGTCTTGAATTAAGATTGACAGTAGTGGGGGCAAGTTCGCGTATATTTCCCACCAAACTAACACATTTGTATTCAACAGATGATGACGATTGATCAACGGACAAAATGTGAAAGAATTTCCGCCGTTCTCACCCAACGTGCTTAAAGTTGACCAAATATAAAGTAGTTTGTAAATTGACTACAAATTAATATCGTGCACAGAGGACTCGTGCCACAAGCTACAGATGTGAGCACGACTCGCTAAACATAGTTTGTATTGGTGGTGGATGGTACTGGAACAAAGTGTACGCACGCAAGGGCAGCGCGGGGCTAGCAGCCGGTGGTGTCGTGCAGCAGGCCGTTGGGTCGCGACGCGTGCTGCGGGTGCTGCGGGAGCTGCAGGCGCGGGTGCGCGAGCTGCGGCTGCGGGTGCGGCTGCAGCGGCTCGGCGGCCGCGTCGTCGGAGGCGCGCGAGCGTAGCGAGGACAGTTCGCGCACCCACGAAGCCAGCCGCCCCGACACGCCGAACAGGTTCGACCCCGACCCCGTCGCCACTGCGCCCACGTTCACCTCTGCCGGCTCCTGCTCCTCCTCTGCACAACGCGCAACACAACTCACTTAATTATACTATTCCATACTATACAGTGGTTTTATTTAGAAACTCGAACGTAATTCATTACATTTTTAAGTTTACTTATGAAGCAAGCTTTGTTAAACTTTCAACTGCACCTTAATATTTAAAACATAGATATCTAGTACACAAATTCTAATTATTTGTTGGCAACATTTAAAAATTCTTTTGCGACAATCTCTACGCAGTGATTGTATACTCTTTGATCTGTACTCTATGCGACTGTTTGGCCCAAGGAGGTTATAATTCTTACAATCTCCTTGGTTTGGCCCAAGTTTGGCCACAGATGTTTGGCATTGGCAGTATTAACGTAAACAATGAATGTCTTATTTTATTTAATGTATTTGAAACACATTTATGAATTTTAGTTTTCTGCCCTACTTTTCCATTTAAACTTTAATAATATGCAATGTGTTTAAAAAGGGGTAAAAATGTTTCCTTCATGTATTAATATATTGATATGTATACAGGGTTATTTTGCAATAACCGGCCAAATTTGCAGAGAAGGTATAGAATAAGTATTATAGGCAAGTATTGAAGAATCATTAATTTAAAAAATTACATGCGTGAGTACCGTGGAACACTCGGTTAGAACGAAATTCCTTTCGTAGTATATTATTATTGATAAACGTATTATATTATTGATTAACAAATGCAAATAAATGAATTACTAGCGTCTATTAAAATAAAGCGTCATTTAAAATAATATTTCTTTCATGGCAAGATAAGAAAAAGTGGAAGGGACATGAATATTATTCCATCTCCCTCGCACTATACAAAGGGGGTGGTGACGAAAAAATCTTACACTATTCACGCCTAGCCCTTCGTTCCAAAAATCTCAAGCAATCTGTCCTTTTTATCTTTTAAATTCAAAATGCGTGGTAATGCATTATTTTAACTGATTTTACTGCGCACGCACGCATTTGTATTTGTAAAGGTCAATCAGTAGGCAAAAACGATGTTGTCCTTAAATCACATTTAATTTGGGATATTTCAAATAAAGATGTCCTTAAATCACATTTAATTTGGGATATTTCAAATAAAAGGAGAAGCCTTATTTAATCGTACTTTTATAAACTGCATAACGGTATATCATCATTTATATATTTGAACTTAAATTTAAAATTTGGCTACTCTTAAAAATAATCCTGTAGAGTGGAAAAATTAGCGGGACATGGAGAGAAAGTACATTAAATATTGAAGATATCAAATTTCTTTCAAAGGAAACATTCCTTTCTTTTTCAAAATAGTAATTTTTTTTTTAAAAAGCTTGGGTAAGCTGGGAATAGAACCAACTAAAAATGCAAAAAAAATACACTGTCGGAATCGCCCTATGACAAGGATAAAATCGCTCGAATATACATTATATCTTACAATTATAGAAGACCACGAAATTTAACAATTAATACATCCCGACTCTCTTACACCATTAACTAGAACTAGGTTGTTTGTTTTTAAAAGTAAAAGACCTTTTACCATTTTCTTAAAACTCTACATTAAGAGTACCTAAATAATAAAAAAAAGAGAAATAACCTTTTTCTTAAACAAAAAAAAATTATGAAGTTATCTATATTTCATTACAACATATATAGTTCTTTATCACTAACTTAAATTCGAATCGTTCAAACAAAGCAAAATATTAAAAATATTACCAGAATCATTTTTTTTGCTTGACGTTGTTTCAATGGTATGTTATATGTAATTTATTTGGATGATTAAAATTCATGCTAATGTGAATAATCGGTAAAAATATTCAAATAATCAAAACTTTACATTTTTTAATTGATTATTGGTTTATTTAAATTTTTATATTTATAGTTTCATAAATTATATGAATCATGAATTAAACAAATCTGTGGCGGCGCTGTCGTCGCGCCACAAGTGAAACACATCGAAGCCTAAATCGCGCTATCAGTTCCGAAGTAAAAAGCAGTATATATAGAATAGCTCAGAAAAACCACAAGAAGCGTTGGCCGCTTCCCGGGCTTAACACCTTGCTCGGCGGGAAATCTGACATTTTCCTTCTACGGCCACAGTGATGACCCCGATGTGATGTGAATACGCAACCAACAACCTTCCGAAAAATAGAACTTCAAGCCTTCATCATTATCCTCAAGAACCCCTACCATTCACTCCCAAGAATCGCCTTCTACAGTGTTCAGCTCATGCAAACAAGTCCAACTTGTCTTCATCTCAACTCACCGCAGATTTATAAGGCAGACTTCTGGCACTTGCTCCGGCTCATCATTCTCACCGGCATCACTTCCAAGTGCGTAGTATGGCATGCATTACACATCGGCATATTGTTCGCACCGGCGTCACTTGCCCTTACGCACACAGCATGCATTCCCATCATCAATCAGACTGCACTATATCGACCTCCGGTCTGAGCAGGAAGGTGATGTGGCGGCGCTGTCGTCACACATCGAAGCCTAAATCGCGCCATCAAAGTTCCAAAGTAAAAAGCAGTACTTATATATATGGAATAGCTCGAAACTACCACTCGGAGCGTTGGCCGCTCCCTGGGCAGTACACCTTCTCCCCTCAGATCTCCCCTTTTCTGTACCACGGCCAAAAGTCTAATTTTTTCCAACTAACAAGGTTGCCAAGCGTGGCATCTATATCAAATATCCCCCCCTATGAGGCAATCTATGTTATTCGAGTAAGTTTAGATGCCGGCTTGTACAAATATTGACCCATTTGAAAAGGAATTAGCTTCCGAGAAAAAAAAGACAAATGCTAAATAATTATTTAGAGTCATGAATGCATGAAAACACTTACCAGAAATTAAATATATAACCAATTGGGACAACGTTATATTCATTGATGATACATGGCTAAACGCCAACCACACTGTGTCGCAGACATGGAAGGATAACACGTTCTCGTGGGAAAAGGTGGGCGCCTCATAATTTGCCATGTGGGATCTGCCGGAGGAGGATTTGTAGAAAATACAACTACTACACAATGGATGACTGGGGCAAAGTTAAGAAGAAAAGTTAGAAAGAAAATTGTTATAGACGACTATGAAAAAGACGTTCATTTTGAATGCATTATAAAAATAAAAAAAAATAATTAATGTAAACAATACGATGATGACGACGGCAGCTCAACAAGTTGTGATAGTGTTTAAATAAATTTGTTTTCAATCTAGTTTAGTCTTTAATTATATAACTTTCTCTCTAGAAATTAGCAATAAGCTATAAATGTGAAGAAACTGACAAGTTTTGAGTTATGTTTCTAATTTATTTACTATATAAATTAATATAGATAAAGCTGTAGGTAAATGATTAACAAATCTAAAGAATCGATATCGATTTCTCTTAAGAATCGAATATTGTAGGTACAACTTGGCCAAAACAAAGGGACATGACAGGAATGCGATTCCCCTAATGGCCAATCACTGTTAAGGTGTTCCCTCCCTAGTCTTAATGACGTCATAGTTGTCATGCGCTTAATTGTTTCGATTACGTAGTACCGATTCTTCAGTTGGAATGCCTAGTCCAATAAATATGATAGCTGTCAAAAGATATTTCTTAGGCTTGGTAGGGTATAATTAATTATTTCTCGGTTTAACCATAAAAGCAACAAAATATAAATCTCATTAATTAAACTTTTGACATTTTTGAACATATATGTATGTCTTCAAAATCAAAGTTGGTACTACTTTTGTCAGTGTACATTTTTCTTTATTGTTATCATTATAACTAAATATATTGTAACTTTACTTTCATAAAATAAAAATGATGAAATTGCTTCGTAATTGTAAAATGTAAAAAATAAAATAAAAAAGAAAATTGTAAATTAGTTACTGTCGATTTTTCAAAATTTTCCTTTCCTTTCAAAAATACATTGTTGCCATTTTTTTTTATGTGTAATGTGATAATGGCAACCAGTCACCATATTTGATTTTAAATAATTTTCTACTTACGAAATGATGATGTGACTCTGATACATATTTTACAAAAAATAAATAATGAATAGTTAAATGCCATGGAAATTACTGCATAAACGCTTTAATATTTAGATTAAGTAATACTGACACGTATAAGAAGCCGTAAAGCCTTCGAATCGTACAGCTTTAAATATAAATACTAAAAGCATCTAAGAACTACACAGCTATAATATAAAAATAGGTAATTGGATGCTACATTACTATAGAATTTACTAGAATAAATTGAAATAAGCTATATATTAACTTAATTAATCTAATATCCTAAATGGTCGAAATAATCTACACTACAACAATACAAAACTACATGGTTTTTGGTCACTCAGGAAATGATAACAAAGTGCTTAGTATTTTAACAACATGCAACATACTGTTACTTACGGATATCAATCTGCCGTCCGCTCGGCACACGCTTCTTTTGACCGCATGACCGTGCGAACAAACAATAGTCTCCCATTATCATCTCTTATTATGTCTATTTTGTTTGTTGTTATCATTTACTGAAATGTACCAAAAACACAAACTTTACGAACACTTGTTAATTTTTGGTGGGTATACTGTACATCACAGTAATATAAAATATAACGACTTCTATAAATACGGCTTTTGCCAGTATATTCAATGTAAATAGGTACGAATAGTTAAAAAAATATTTTTACTGTAATCGTAGTTTTGCTGATCGTACATTTCTAAAAAGCTCAGGTTTGGTTTAAACGATACAACCTTTTGGGTCGAATATTTATAAAAAAAATAACTCGACTCGTCCATGTATAGTAATATAAATTTATATTGATATTAATGTATTAGTGTTTTAGAATAATATTATTTATAAAGAAGCTAGCTAAAAACTTAATTATAATGCAAATACAAAAACCTGATATAAATCGAAGCAGTGGTCTATTATAATGATTGATATTTTAATATTTTACTGGGTTTTGACGCTAAAAATAATTTTATACTTAATGGAACAACAACCAAAATTATACTTCGTTGCTGCATCCTAGGAGATTTAAAAACTATGTAGTCCGCTTTCTGTCGTACTGCATCATCACACCG